CACAAAATATTCCATCTTGTAAGATGGTTAAAATCATCTGGCTCTTGATCAGATGCCAATATAAACATACATCTGAAAAAGATTACAATCCACAGAGCATTCATTATACCAAACTGTATGGTTCATTACTTTGGAAAAAACTATTAGCCAGGCAGCCAAATCTGACCACTAGTAATTTATCCTATCCAGTTTGGCTTAATTCAAGCGATATCAGCAAATCATAATCCTTAGCAAACACTAATCATTATTCATCCCATTAACAAAATGAATAAAAGCAATCTTCTAGCATTAGATAAAGGGGATTCTTCTCAGCTCCCTTTTGTTTTTCAGACTGCAGTTAGGACACAATTCAAAGCCTTCTCCACAATTTTTTGTGTGAATCTTTCTCATGCAGTTCTACCTTACCCTCATTCTCCTTAAAACCAGCATTATATATCTCATCTGCTTATCCATGGAAGCACTCGCAGGAACTATCAAGAGGTTGTCAAGAGGCAGAGGATGTCACACTCTATAAGGAGCAAAATATTGCTTCCCTTGCAGATGGCACCCAGTTTTATCTCAGCAAAACACCAGCTTCTAATCAATGTTGTTAAGAAATCTTAGAGACCAACAGCTGTATGACTCGGGTTTCTGTAAATCTGACACAGTTGGAGGCAAAGCTGGAGTGAGAATTAATTTTGCTGCCATTGTCAGCCTAGATACAAATAACTGAATGCCTGGATACAAATAACTGTATACCTGGAGACAAATAGCTGATGCATGGTGCCTTCATAGCATCTCTCCTGAAACACTTTGTGCTTCTGCCTATAAGACATTTAAAATGATAAGGTAGGTTAAATATTCACTAGGACTTGAGATGGCATTGAAGGAAACCAAAATCAGCTTAACAAGATCTAGAATTGAAAGAGGCAAAAAAGTCATGACTGTTTCGTTGGACATACTGCAGGTGGTCAGTGCTGGTCAGGTCCTGGCTGTGGGTTTCCAGCTCTCTGAAACAAGCAGCAAAGCAATTGAGAAACATACTTTTGTTTCCCTTTCCTATTCTTTCCTGTTTAGCTAAGCAGAATTTTAAAAGCAGCCATCAGGAGATGGTTAGCAATCCCATACTCTACCAGTCAAAACCCTCCTCTATTAGCATCAGTACCTGGACTCAATTTTGAGAAAATTTTATTTGATTGAAATTTGGCTTGGGAAAAAAAATCCAAGCATGTAAAGCACCAGCCAAGTAAATTAGTGTTTCAGAATATTTAGGATCTGAAAATGGCTGGGTTTTGTAACAGAAGCTGCTCATAATATGCAATAACAGACAAAATTGCTGTCTAAACTTCAAATGTATCATTTCAAATTAAATCCATGAAGGTTGTCTCTAACTTCTTTTTCCAAAAGTTTTGGAAGTCTGTGAACTTCAGATGAAAGCCTATCAAAAGGAGTAAAATAACTCCAAAGGAGAAAAATGCTTTGTCCCTGAAACACAAGGACAATCTTGCTTGTGCATGTATTAAAAAAAAATCTGGCTGTTCTTGGAGAGTGGTTTGGTGTGCTCTCTGCCCCCAGTAGACAATTACACATACAAGCCCATAATATTGAATGTATAATCCTAACTTTTAGGCAGATGTAGCTAAGCAATCACCTCACCAAGGGATTAGGTTTGCTGTGACATGCTCAGTTTAAGAAAGAATCAGCATTTTTCTCTGTTGCAGTAGCTTACTAATGTAGACTTCTTTACAGTTATTGTCATGCATGTTATGCTCCCCATTTTCATGGCTAATTTCAAACCTGGGCTTTCCTGATTTAAAACAAGTGTAAACTAATCTCATTCAAAACCTTTTATGTACAACTTTTTCTGCAGAGGATGGGAGAGTGTGAAGATTTACGGCATTACATCCTGTCCCTGCTGCTCTGCTCAGAGCTGACAAACTGTTTATCACCAGCTCTGGAAGCAGTGAGAAGGACATCTCCCTCCCCAGCTGAATTTGCCCTCTATT